ATCTGGATCTCGTGCTTTACACTGTTTTGAGAGTGGAGACTGCTACCCAGAATGTAGAATGTGGTCTGTGTACTAATTGTTAAATAATTATTAATTTGTAGAGTATACATTATAACCCATTAAAACATAATTATTGAATGAGGATGAGATAGATTAACTCATTTTAATCCATTTAATTATTTTAATGAGATACGTGGGGATGAGAGTAGCTAAATATATTCAAGTTAAAATTGCCAGCCCTAACAACCCCTCTTATCAAAACTTGGGTGGCGGACTCCCCCAACTTTAAGAATTCCGGTTGGTCCGTTCGCTACACCCTACCATAATCTTTGGGATAGAAATAATTTCATCTATTATATTTTTATTTTATTTGAATATGAATATACATTTATGATTTGATGAATTTTTAAATATGAAAGATTGTAATATCCGTGCATTTGAGGATGCTAAGAAAAGTTGCACCAAATATACTAAACACAAGCAGTTCCATTCATATAATCCACAATTCAATATGCATAGGAACTGTCATACAAGGATGACAATCAATAGCAGAATAAAACATCACATGGCTATAGGCAGACTGGAAATCAAAGCGTTTTCATGCAATTCAAGCAGTTGGGTAGGAAGCCTGCATGGCGATTCCGCATAGCCCTTCCTTTGCATCATTATCTTTTTGCATTCTGATACATCCATCCTCACCCCAGCTTGTGCCCCATGAGCATGGTTTTAAAAACTAGACTGGACCGGCCAGTCGGACTGGTTGGACCGCTGATTGGTCCTCTTTTCGATCCGGTTTTCATAAAAAATTGGGACAGTGTAAAAACTGTTTTATTTTTGCAAAACCGCTTGAACCGCCGGTCTGACCACTTAAACTGGTAAACCGGTTGCGATTTTCATGAATCAGACGGTTTGTATTTTCTTTTTTTTTAAAAAAAAAAATTTTGCCCTAAAAATATTAAAATTTCTTTTCTCTCTCTTTCTTCAACAATGACAGACCCGATCCCGATTGAGAAATAGGCGAAATCCCTAAACCTTTCTTCCCTACTGCCACCATGGACAAAGCCCCGTCATCGCCTTGCTGTCGACGCCGTGCCTGTGACGCCGTCGTCAATCGGAGCTGGTTCCTCTCTCTTCAAGCAGACCGGTTCCTCTCTCTTCAAACGGGCCAAGGTTTTCTTCTGCAAAAACAAACCAAGGTATTGCAGTCGTCTCGTTTGTTTACCTGTGTTTCTTTTACACTTCTTATATTTGTCCATTATTACATTTTTGGGGTGTTTACATTTCTCAACGAGGTGGAGTATAGTATTACCCAAATAAAAATGAATGTACAATTGGAGGGGCTGTTGGGATTGATCATTTTTGGTATAGGATTTGTTTCTTTTGTTGGCCTCTAGATATGTTTTCGGCAATCCTAGAATGTAAATTTGATTCAGGTCCATTTGATGGTTCCAATTTTGTATTTGTTGTGGGTTTTGTATGGACAGATTCCTCAAGTGTGAAATGATCCTTTAGGATCTATACTAATTAAATCCCCTTGCTTTGAAAATAAAAATTACAAATGTAATTTCAGAATCTTCATACTCCATGTCAAAATTGCCATAAAGAAAACTAAAATCATTGCATATGTCATGGTCTAGAGTTTTCCTGCATTATGTAATATAAATTAGATAAAATTAAAAAACGAAAAAAGAAATTAAACACCCAAACAAGTAAGCTTAAGAGAGGAACGCCCTTCCAATTTAATTCCATAATTCCTAAAATCCATGTCCATGCAGGGGTTCAATTAAATTTACAAGGCTTCTGATGTTGCAGGATTTTGGAAGAGTCAATTAAATCCCCATACTGATTTTTGTTTCTACGTTTTGAATTCACAACACTCATGTTGCAGTAGAATATCAAGACAACTTGCAGCTGTACCTGATAGCTACAACGTATGATCAAGACAAGTATGGCAAATTTTATCATAATAATGGTTTGCTGTCAATGTATTTTATTGGAATTGATTGATTCAGTTGTTTCATTTGGTAATGCTAGATGTCTTCAAATTTGTAATATTTAACTACAGACTTGTTATTAATTTGAAGCTTAAATTATACATAATTTTTGTAAATTAATCTCTAACTGACTAAATCCACTTTAAATTTCTATATTCATGTTGCATGAATAAAAAACTTAAAACTTATATATCCTTTTCAACCATAGATTTCCTTTAGAAATTTGTACTGGTTTCTGAAATTCTTATATGATCTCCTGCTTTCTTTTATCAGTTGAACAGTCATAAGACTCTCAACTAAATGTATTTATGGCTATTTTTTTTTATACCAATGCTGTAGTTAAAATTTGAAGAGGAATTATATTGGATCAGAACCAAAGAATGCAGTTGTGTGGCTATTCACTTAATTTAGATGCATATGTAATTATATCAAATATGATGCTTACAGAACTTTGCAAGTTAACAATTGAGGTAACTGGTGATTTTGTTTTTGGTTTCTTTCTTGTTTAATTGTTGCTTTTATGCTTTTTTGCTTTATGTATTATTATTTGTGTAGCACTTCCAATGCATTTGTCCATTTTTTTGTTATTACTGCACATATACAGCCAGACACTAATCTGATAATATGTTTTGTAATACAAAAGCCCAAGACCAATAGAAAATTTACTTTGATGGAAATCTGGGGCGACCATGTCACTATGGGACTTCACATAATTTCCTTTCTTTTTTCTGGTTCGGATTTCATGTGACTGTCTACTGTGTCTGTTGCAGGCAACTTTTGAATGTCTTCCGAAGAAGACTTATGGGTTCCTTACCCCTGATTTTAATGGTTTTATTTTTTTATAATATATATTTACATAAATTATTAATTATGACATCACCGATTCAATTACGGTTCAATTGATAGTTGGATCGGTGAATCGTGAACTGGTAAGTTTTCCGATTCGATGAACGGTCTGATTTTTCAAACCTTGCTCATGAGTTATTCACTAGCCAATACTTCGTTCCATTCTCACTTGTCCCATACCCTATTGCCGTAACACCATGGTCCAAGTCAGTCCCGCAGTCCCCTGTGAAGACTCCACTAGAGTAGAACTGGAAGGCAAAGCCACCAGCATCAATGGCCACAGAGGCAAGCTACTTCGCCACAGCCTTTTGCAGTGCCGGCTCATTATTAGCAGGCACGTCTTCATAGCCCGAGATGGTGGCTGCGTGCGAGTCTTCCTTCTTGGTGTTGCATGTCCCATCAGCTGCCTCATTGGGGTAGTTTGCCTCTGTTGTGAGACCATTGTTTTTGATGATGAATTCGAAGGCATCATCCATTAGGCCACCATTGCAGCCCTGGTCCTCACCATTTACATCGCAGTCAACCAGTTCTTGCTTGGAAAGGGAGATCAACTTGCCAGTACTGATCTTGTGAATGCCCTCCATCGCTGCAACAGCTAGGGGTATTCACGGTTCAATTTTTTACGATTTTTTCATAAAATTTATACCGTACCAATTTATTCGATTTTTTGAAGTTAAAATCAAAACTATACTTTTTGATACTAGTACCAATCCATTCGGTTTTGGTACAGTACGGTATAGTTCGGTTCGGTTTTTTAATATTTTTTTATGTTTAAATATAACCAATCAAATAAAATAATATGAAATAATGAGTATAAACACTTCTCAACAAATAAGTAAATAAATTTAAAGAAATGACTTAGAGTTTGTAAATAAATAGATGGACAAAAAGGAGAGACTTATAAAATAAATAAGAAGATGTATAATATAAATCAACCAAATATAATAATATCATATCTATTATTTCAAACTAATAGAGACTTAAAAGCAAGAAAAAAAGAAAAAAAAAAGAGATTGAGTCATTCTTTCACTTTATTTTGTCACATTTCGACTTGTATTAACCATGAATCATAGCCACGATTAATAAAAATTATGGCAAGACAGTGGAGGAGAGAGGCAAGGCAAATGAGGTGAGATAACTGCAAGGAGAAAAAAGAAGATCATGAGACTTGTGCGTGAGAGAGGAGAGGATTAGTAATCCAAACAAAATTTTGTATATATATTTTCTCTTTTTACACTTTAATCTCTCATATTTACACATCCTCTTCATATAAGCCTCCATCTTTTTAATTATGTATTTTAAGAGCTTTGTTTGGTAAATAATTAAAGTTGAAAAGTTAGTTTTCAAAATTGTAGATAAGATAAAATAATGAAAAATTTAGTAAAAGAGAGATTTGAAGATAAAAGCAAAAAAGAGAGAGTAAACAGGTGATAGTTAAGCTTGTAGATAAGATATGAGAGAGAGAGAGAGAGAGATGTGAAAACATAATGTGATTGTAAGAGAGATGAGTGATATAATTGAAAAAAAATCGATAAAGTGAATAGGACTTAACTTGTAAATAAGGAGACAACAATAAAGAACAAACGTGTGGAGACTTAAACTATGGAAAATGGAGATGGCTGAGATAATTGAAGAAAATAGAGAGGAAATGATTGAGATTTAAATTTACAGAAAGAATTAACGAGAAAGAGATAGAGTTTGATTTACTATTAAATTGCTCTTAATCTCTAAAAATTTGCATATTTTATATATAATATAAATAATTTAATAAATTATTATATATAACATTCGGTTCGGTACAATTTTTTTTCATTTTTTTATTTATAAAACCTAAACCGTACCAAAATATTCGAAATGGTATTACCTAATATCAAAGTCTATAGTAGTTTCAAAAAAAACTTAACTTTCTGTACGATGCGATTCGGTTCGGTTTTTTTAAACCATGAACACCCTAGCAATAGCAGAGAATGCCCAGCAGCATCCTGCAAATGGAGGCAATATCTACTTGTAAAATGGTATGTAACCAACCAAGCTTAAAACCAAACAGGTCCTAAAATAGGTCTAGTAACTAATATGAGCTAATGTTTCCAAGGTTCTTTTTCTTCTTACCGCTTTGGCCTTGATCTTTGATTGCTGTGACGGCTTCTTTCTTCCTCCAATCTACGCTAGCTGGAGCTGCAGTCTCATTTCATACCTAAACATAGCTACCTTAAGAGTCCTTCCATGAGAGAGCATTCTATATCTGTTACAGGAGGATTGAAACTCCTCATTTGTCCAATCAGCAAACTGGTTGATGGCCAGTTGGTAGGGGCGAGTCCCAGCTTTGTCAAAGGCCTCAACGAACTCCACATTGTCTCTAAATATCCTCAAGCGCATCTTCTTCTCTGCGGCATCCTTGTATGTGTGTCAATAGTGAGTCATCCACTACTCGTGTTGCTCAGCCATTGACGCCTCTTGTAGTGTCCTAGATGTGGCTTGAGAAGCCCACATCCCCAGGACCAACACTGTTGCCAAAAGCAATTTCTAGTAGAGCCTTGGAGCCATGTTTCTGAACCAAAGTGCTTTCGAGCAACTTGCTAATGTTGGTTATTGGTTAGCACTTGTGAGATACACTTACTGCATTGAGAGAGGGAGGTATTTATAGAGACCTGCATCATTCCAATTACCCCCTCTGGGTTTGATCTCAATCTGCTCTCTCACTGTTTTGAACCCTGATTTATCTAGCAAGATTGCCTGGAGAACCCAGCAAGATATGAGCGAAAGAGATCGAGGTTTTTCAGTTCCGTAGACGCTGTTCATTGAATGTACACACAATTGCATTATACAAGCGTTTTTTGTTCGTATTACTCTGATGAGTAATCTTCCCGTAGCTTTGAACCTTAAACAAACTAGAGTTAGCCAACCAAGGTTGGCTAAATTCACCTAATTTGAAGGTTTCATTTGTCAAGAGATGACCATCTAGTGGGAAAACTAAAATTGAGGGTTGAATCAGCGAAGAATCTAGTGGTAAAGTGGGAACTTCTTAGAGAATCTAATAAAAAATAATCTTTCTGCATACAAACTTGTTTCATTGTACCCAATAATGAAAAAAAAATTGAAAATGATATGATAAAGATTGAGACTAGATAAATTATTTAAAAGTTAACAAAAAAGAACTCATCATGTGGACTGCCAAAGTAGAGAAAAAAATATTAAGAAATTGTATAACACCAAATCTTAAACAAGACGAAAAGACACAGAAAAAAATTAGACTGTTTATTTGGTTGCCATCTGCCCCTTCACTACAAGAAAATGGCGGATTAGTGACGAAATTTACCGACGCAAAAAATTTCGTCAAAATACAGACAATATTTCCGATGTCAAAAAAGCGTCGGTAAATTACCGACAAAAAATCGAGACAAAAAGCGTCAAAAATCATCAGAAATTTACCAACGCAAAAATTGCGTTGGTAAATTTATGCTTAATATTACCGACACATAACTTTGTGTTGGTAAATAATAAAAAAAAGAAATAAAATATTACCAGCGCAATATTTGCGTTAGTAATCTACTGTAACTATAAAAAAATTATTATTATAAAAAGAATTTCAAAATATTAAATTTATCGATGCAAAAGTTGTGTCAGTAAATTCACTTCGCATTACCGATGCAAGATTTGCGTCGGTAAGTTTAAAAAAATAATTATTATAAAATTACCTACGCAAAATCTTGCGTTGGTAATTATTGACGCAAACTCGTGTCGGTAAAAACCTTGGAAATCACATTCCCGGGTATCGAGAATTACCGACGCAGTTGCGTCGGTAATTCGAATTTTTGCATCAGTAATTCAGCCTCACGCTTTTTGAGGCACGTGATTGAGGTATTACCGATGCACTTTACCAACGCAATGCATCAGTAATACTATCTATATAACAATAGTCCCCCAATGCCCTGACTTCCATTTCTAACTCTCTGTTCTTTCTCCCGTTTCGCTCTCTCCTCTCTCTATTTTTTGCATTTCGTTTGCCGTTGCCCATTCAATCGCCGCAGCACTGCACCCCATCGCCGCACCACACCGCAATGGTACGATTTCTCTCTCCCATTTGTTTAAATTGATGCACTGCATGCAATGGTTATGTACATATATATACATGCTTATATACATGCATGCTTGGGTTGTTTACATTTTTTTAAAGTTAGATTTATGTTTTTTTTTAAATTTTTTTTATTATTTATATGTGATGGATTGGGCCGAACCAACGACTGGGCCAGCCCTGCCCCGCTCGGTGCAGCCCAGCTGGGCTGCTGGGCTGGGCCAGCGACTAGGCCAGCCGGGTCGGCCCATCCTAGCTGGGCCAGGCCGTCAGTGCTATGGGCAGCCCAACCCACTGGATTTTGTTTAAAATATTTTAAAATTAAATATTTAAAATATTATTAACAAATATCCAATAAATAGTATTAATTTAAATTATTATTTTAAAAAATAAAATATTAATGTAAAATATTATTAACAAAACCCAATAAATAGTATTAATTTAAACTACTTTTTAATAAAATAAAATTTTACTTGAAAATATTGTTAACAAAGTCCACTAGAGAGTATTAATTTAAAATATTATTTTAAAAAATAAAATATTAATGTAAAATATTATTAACAAAACCCAATAAATAGTATTAATTTAAACTATTTTTTAATAAAATAAAATATTAATTTAAAATATTGTTAACAAAGCCCAATAAACTATTATTAATAAAATAAAATATGAATTTAAAATATTATTAACAAATCCAAAATAATAGTATTAATTTAAACTATTATGTAAAAAAATAAAATATTTATTTAAAATATTATTAACAAAGGCCCAATAAATAGTATTAATTTAAACTATTATTTAAAAAAATAAAATAGTAATTTAAATGTTATTAACATATTATTTAAACAAATAAAATAACCTAATGAAATAAAATTTTATTAGAATATTGTTTAATAAAGTATTTTAAAAAATTATGCTAGTTTAACACATTAAAATATTATATAATTAATTGAAATAATATTTTAATTATTTATTTAATGACACTTGAAATATATTTTAAAATATTAATTAATAAATATTATAACTACAAATTTAATGAATTAAAAATTAAAATTAAATAAATTTATTGTTTTGTAATGTTAATTCAAAATATTATTTAATCATTAAAGAAATATCTTGAAAGTAATATTTAATAAGCCTTATAACTATTGTAAACCAAGGTAAATGATATAAATTCAAATTAATCATAAATTTTTAGAAATCTATTGTATTTAAGTAGTTATATAATTAATTTGATTAAAATAAATTTTTGAACGTCATAACAAATGAAACATATTTTTGTTGATTATTCATAGATATGAAAATTCTAGAACATTATCGGTAAATGTATAGTAGGCTTCACGCAGGTAGAAGGGGATTGAAACCGGAATTTGTAAATGGTGTTGATGAGTTCCTTTCGTATGTTTGCCAAAAACTGGAATTCATAAGAGAAAGGTTGCTTCGGTTTCCTTGTTGTAAATGTAAATGTTTGAAATATTTAGAACTTAACACAATTAAGGTTTATCTTTGTCAAAAGAGATTTATGGAAGGGTAGTGGTATTACATTTATCATAGAGAGAAGCCCAATGTTGAAATAAATAGGGCTTATATTGTTAGTGATTCTGCGAGTAATCAATATGAGAATTTAAATAGATACCAGGAGATAATACATGATTCTAGTAGGCCTAACTATTATGCTCATTTTGAGCAGAGAATGGAGGATGCTCCTAATGCTGATGCTCAAAAATTTTTTGACTTACTGAATGCAGCAAATAGACCATTATGGCAGGGGTCTTGTCATTCTAAATTGTTTGTTGGAACTAAAATAATGAGCATCAAGTCTGATTGGAATGTTGCGCAGCAGTGTGTTGATTCAATAGTTGAGCTTATACATGAGACGAATCCTTACGAGGATATTCACATACCTCAATCTTATTACGAGGTTAGAAAATTGGTGTCAAAGTTAGAGTTGCAAGCTATGAAAATTGATTGTTGTGAGAATAGTTGTATGTTGTACTACAAAGATGACATTGATGAACTTTCATGTAAATTTTGTCAGAAACCAAGATATCGACCACATAGAGTAGGAATGGAAAATTTAAAAAATGTGACAGTAAAGTCGATGCATTATTTGCCACTTATTCCAAGATTGCAAAGGTTATATGCATCAATGAGTTCTTCACCTTATATGAGATTGCACTATAAAAATAGGCGACCTCGGGTGTTTTTAAGTCATCTATTAGATAGGGAAGTGGGAAACACTTTGACAGAGTATATCCTAACTTTGCAATTGAGACTCGGAATATAAGGCTTGGATTATGTTCTGATGGTTTTACTCCATTTAGTCAGTCGTCTAGGTCATATTCTTGTTGACCTGTAATTGTCACTCCTTATAATCTTCCATCAGAAATGTGTATGACAAAATCTAACATGTTTTTGACATGTATTATACATGGACCGAAAAATCCCAAGAGCTTAATTGATGTTTATTTGCAGCCTTGGTTGATGAATTGAAATTGTTGTGGCATGTAGGTGTTTTGACATATGATGTTTGTACAAAACAAAATTTTATGTTGCGTGTAGCTATAATTTGGACAATCAATGACTTTCCTACATATGGAATGTTGTCTGGGTGGATGACTACTGGTAAATTGGCTTGCCTTTATTGTATAGAGAAAACAAATGCTTTTACTTTAAAGCATGGTGGTAAGAATTCATGATTTGACTGTAATCATCAATTTTTGCTGTGTGATCATGTATTTAGGAGGAATAAATGAGATTTTATAAAAAATAGGATTAAAACTAATGAGCTGCCACCTAGACTATCTGGTGAACAATTGTGGGATAAAGTTTGCTCTCTTCCCAAAGTGGCTAAACATAGTCAATCTAAATTACCGGGATACGGGGTATACCATAATTGGACTAAGCAGAGTATATTTTGGGAGCTTCCATATTGAAAATGCTTTTGATTAGGCATAATCTTAATGTGATGTATGTTGAAAAATATTTATGATAATATCTTATATACTGTAATAGATATTAGATTGAAAACAAAAGATAATATCAAAGCAAGGGTTGACTTAGTAGAGATTTGTAGGCGGCGGAATATGGAACTTGTCACGTTGCCTAATGGAAAAATTATGAAACCAAAAGTAAGTACAATTTAACTGTTGATGAAAGAAGAGCTGTGTGCAATTTGGTTAGAGAATTGAAAATGCCAGATGGATTTGCTTCTAATTTGGCAAAGTGTTTTGATCTATAAACAAGTAATGTACATGGAATGAAAAGTCATGATTGTCATATATTTATAGAGTGCCTACTTCCGATTGCTTTCGATTTTTTACCTGATACTGTGTAGAAACCTCTTACAGAATTAAGTCAATTTTTTAAGGATTTATGCTCCATTACACTCAGAGATGAGGATTAATTGTAACTAGAGCAAAATAGTCCAGTAATACTGTGTAAACTTGAAAGAATTTTTTCACCAGCATTATTTGATTCAATTGAGCATCTAATTGTACACCTCCCATATGAGGCCAGAGTTGGAGGACCTATTCAATACAGATGGATGTATCCATTTGAAAGGTAATGTTTTAAATGATTTTGGTCCAATTTTTTTTTTGGTATACTTGTGACATAATTGTAAAGAATAATGCCATTTAATGTTTTGGTTTATATATTTTAAGTGCATGAGAGAGTTTAAAAGATCTGTAAAGAATAAAACACGAGTTGAGGGTTCCATATGTGC